ACATTCCACTTGTCACATCGATCTTCAAAGTGACGAGAGACTCCTCATCACTAGGGGCAGTAACACACAGCGACTATGTGCTGGGAGCAGTCTTCGTCAAGAGTCCTGCAAATTCTCTTGACGTTGCTGGATCAGCAGGGTGCTCCGCCCCTACTGACCCTGTCCGTTTTTTACGGTCCGACTTGCTGTCGCGACTTAGCGACATGGTCAGACCCGCGCCTTAGACCTTTCCTTGGACAACGGTGGTCATCACGTCCTGTTTTCGGACGTGTCGCAGTGCTTGGGACACTACACTCATGAGCGTAGTGTCAAATCTTCTGGCAGAGATGGCATCTTACCGTTCGCTTGTGACTCATAGAGCGAGAGCTCTCGCTCTCGATGTAACAGAGGTCCATTGGTTCGGGACCTCCTGTTTCCTGTCGTCTCGTCGGACGATAGTTTGACGAGTTATTTTGAGACTGTCTCAGGCTGAAGTCTTCTTGTTCCGCATACGCTATCACCTTTTCCAGCGTATGGAAGTCCTCTCGGAACATGTAGGTCTTCACCGGACCATCCACAAGGCCGTAGATGAACACATTGATGAGCGTGTGCTCATCAGCAGGGTTTTTCGAAACGCTACTCGTAAGGTAGCGCAGGTGCTGTGCGTAAGCGTGCACGCCACGCTTACCTTGCTTTAGCCTCAAGGGTACAGAGCGTGCTCTGAACTCGGCTCTCAGCGGCTCAAACGTCTCTTTGAGTCGAGACTTTAAGATCTCCAAAGACTCAAACACGTTTGGGTCGTGAAGCTTGAGCCCTAATGCCCAAGTCTTTGATCGTCCCGTCTAAGTTGCTCGTCCCGTCAAATTTGACAGGGCGAAGGTGACTTGTATCTCGTCACCCTCGATATGACGGGCCCTGATGGCATCGTATAACTCGACGAACCATCTCAAAAGGGAATCTTCATCGGTTCCCTTGTACCTTGAGATATCAGTCTTCAAGGTTTCGGTTCGACGCATGTGCGTCGGTCCGCCCATCGACTGAAGAGATCCTTGCTGCTGTAGCAAGGCTATCTTCTGTCGTTCGACGGCAAGTTCCCCTTGTAGGAACGTGCTGATAGCAGCATGTTGCTGGTCTCTGCTCAGAGACTCCAAAATACCACTGATAGCGGGTTCGCCGATGAGCACACTCATGCGGCCGACTACCTCCCATTCTGAGTCACTCAGGTGGGAGTGGTTTTTATGTGTGACGTGAAATCTGTCGTCTTCAACGTCCAACATGTTCATGTTGGACGGACACTAAGTAGTCTTTGGTTCAACTGCTAAGGGCTTCCAGGTGTAACGAGGAATCCTTTTGCTTGGGTGCCACAAAGCTTCACGTACACTAGTACGTGCAGAGAAAGCTATCTATTCAACAACTGGTTTAAATAAGGGTGAAAAGAGAGTTGCAATAAATATAGTTAAGCTATAAGTATGACTCAATCTTCATCCGACTATACTAACCTACGCCGTCGTATGACGACAACCTGCTCACCACTCATTGCGCGCGTCTAGCGGCGATTGGTTGTAATATATGGTGAATATGTCTTATATCAACCAATCTTCGAGAGGTACGTTAATATTACCATACGGGGTAATTTTCCCTTAATACCACCTTTTTCGGGTATTATTGGCAGGAGATTGTCACGTTGGACAATTTCACAATTGATACCGTTTGGTGTCAACATTATGAAAGGGCTACCCCGTAACGGCTGAAGTTGTACGACATTAGCGGTTCATTCTGATTATGCACCTTGTATACGAAATACTTACCCCTTAGATTAATTATCTGTGATAGCTGATGTTTTTCAAACACATGAGCATTATGTAGAATCGACAGACAGGAATGTAAATTGACCGGTCGCGGTGATTATGTGATAATTACTGTCACAAAAACCGATAAAGTGCCCTTAGTGAGCTGCAATGACCAGGCTTTTACTTAATATAATGGTTTTTTTGGGTGCCTCTACGGCCACATAAACAATAACAACAACCACTGACATTGATAAATCGATCAAAGACTCAACGTCCGCATATATTTTGTAGCGGATATAATTAGCGTTTTTTAACTAAGGAAGTCTTCGACACAGAGCGTCTCTTAGTTATAACAAACTGACAACAACGCACAGTTGGTCAAGCGTACATGCTTTACAATCCCGTTCTTAAAAAATAGATGGTTCACAGAATCACACAATGACTAGTCACTACCAGTTAGACAAAGTAAGCGGCTGTACAAGGGTAATGCTCTTGACAAAACACTACGCTTTATGTAATGGGGTCACACAGCGGTATTTAAACCAGTTAAGTGGTGTGTCCACTCCAAGTAAAGATCGGCGGATCTGATGGTACAGTATTAGTTACATATACTTACGATAATGCTGCACCTTATCGATTAGGGATGAGACTTCTGTCATAGGATCGTAATGTAGAAGTCAATCCGAAAAAGTATTATGGTTTTTGTCCCATAGTTAAGCGAATAAAAAAAGATCGGTCTCCGTTTTATATTGTTTAACACAAGTGCATCGTAAAAACGTAGTAAATTGTTAACAGCACTACTCTTGAAAAGTTGCTTACGCTCGTTTGGCTGGTAGTGACTAGTTAGTGTGTGATTCTGTAAATTGTTATCACTTTGAAATCGGATTTGTTAGGCTTGTGCACTTAAACGACTGTACATCGTTGTTAGTTTGTTTAAAAAAAGCGACGATGTGAGTCTAAGACTTCCTCTGTTGAGGAGCGCTAAGTAGCGCTGGCTCATCTTCCACGGTCTTCAAGAGCCAAATTTGACCTTTTGGACCTCTGCAAGCACTATGTACTTGGTGTTCCATGTACATACAACCCATTTTGTTGCTCTTGTGCCGAGTAAACGATATCTTCTTTTGCGTCGAATAATCTTAAAATGCTCCAACATCGTTCGGCTGAGGCGGCGGATGAGGGCATTGACAAGGGCTTCATGGCCTTTTATATTACTTAAAAATTAGTGCAAATACTGTGAGGAGGCACCGATTGCTTGTACTTTCACAGTCCAAGTTACTTAAATTGAACAAAGAGTAGGGTTGTGCCTTCGTACCCTATGCAATGTGTCGTGCATGGGCAGGTTTGAACACGAGATAACGAATAATCATGATTTGTATATTGATTCGTCTCAGTTATTCATATTTAATCTAATTCTAGCTATATCTTAAAACAAGTATGTGTTGTAACTATCTGCTCGCCATTCATCGCGTACTTCTTGCGTGGCTTGTCTTTATTCGGTGAATTCATTGATCTTTTTTAAATAGCGAGAAGTGTAATCCCTTTGCTACTTAACAATACTTGCTAAGCCAAACTAGAGAACATTATGCTAGTCCAAACATAATACTTACACTTGATATATAACTCATGTTAAGTATGAAGTACCAAAGGCACCCCGTCACATTGCCCCATAACCTTCAGCCACAATAGTGACTGATTGATGATTAAGAAACTTCATTAAATGACGCTAGGGAAAGTTTTCTGACAACTTCTCCGATGAACCGCATGATTTTTAATTTCGTGCGGTGTGCACCCAGAGCTGTTAGCAGTGGAGCAGTGAGAATACGATCGGTTAATGGCTAATGAGCAGGGGTCGCGAGTGGAGAAGGCGACTACCCGCCAAATGCTTTCTCTAATCGGCCTGCAACATTAGCTACTCTTCGATCACGCGGTGGTGCTCCACGTTATTTCAGAGATTACGGTCTAGAGCTCTTTTACTCTGGCGAGTCAGATCGCAACACTTACCCGAAGAAGGCAGCCGCAAAGACAGAGCTATAATAGGATAGATCAAGGTGTCTAAGGCATCTTTTAAAGCGCTACAAAGTCTTAGCATCTTTGGACTATCCGACGAGCTGTATGCTCGGTCTCTAAGGCAGAGTCGTTCACTAGAGAGTGATCGAGGCGGTTGCCGGAGTTAGTTTTACTAACGCGGTTGCCAGAGTTAGACACAATCACACAAATTGTGCCAAACGCGGTGTAGGTACTTATTTTGAAACGACACAGGAAGCCAGCGATAGCGGCGTTTCGCTAGTCTCTCCCGAGAAGAAGGCGTGACTGCCTCCTCAGCGATTTGTTTAACGACTACTCGGTTAAAAAAATCGTGGCAATGACACGGGCGCGATTGGCTTTCGAACTGGGCATGACCTCCACATATATAATTTTGATATCTATGGTACAGCGGGAACAATTAAGGTGATCGTGCCTCGCTAATCCAGCCATAAATCGCATTCATCCACAACGTGGAGCCGTAAAGTGTAATGCCTGGCTTCATAGGTTGACCATGTTTATCAATAGGTTCGAGAGGCAGACTTGAATCAGTGTGTTATAAACTGCATCGATGGTCAAATGAGTCAAGCTAACTATGCCATTCCTGAGTGATACATACCAATGTTGTGTGAACGACTTATTACAAGCTCCAAAAGGAGCTTACTCAACTAACGATCCTTGCTGGAAGGATTGTAGCTCGTCGGAGATTTAGCAAGGAAATAAGAAGCGTGAGGCCCTCGGATTGAGATACCTGGCAATTGAGCGTGTAGCCGTCCAAGAATACCTGATAAGTTTGAAATTGCAAGCGCGAGGTGCGTCAGTGTCCGCCATACGGGCAATGCTTATCTGCCTCTTCCCTAATGAGACGGATGCGAAAAACGATTTCGTCTTCACGCGTTGGACTCACGGATCTCACCGTATGCCAAGCCTCTGGAATCTCCATGAGAGCGCTTTACTTGCTGACGTCTGGCTCGAACGAAGGATGCGCTTTGATTTCGCAAAACAAAAGGCCAAAAGCGAATGTTTTATCTCACACGCTATGCTACGGCAGCTACGAACCCTCGCCTCAGTGCACCTGCTGCAGCTGCAGCCCCCTCCACTCCAGCACCAACAAGTGGAAAGAGAAATGGGTTGACTGACCCTGAAGACGACGTCCAAAAACGTTAACGGCACACGGAAAATCGTGCCGCAGTGATTCTTCGTACTCCCATGAGTTCTCCGACTCCGGGTACCCCGCTACTGTACCAAGTACCGGTTTCTTACCGTCGCGACGATGTTGCTGCAGGAGTCGCTCAAAATGGTACTGTTGATCTCCTTGATCGTCAACGAGAGCAGGAGGTGGCCGATTAATCTCGAAGCGTCGTAGACGAGCTAGTGAACGAGGTGCACGGTCTCGTGACCGCGTGGCGCATCTTGAGGGACAACTGAATCTTCTAATGAGGGTTCCTTGACTTGTGACATCGACAACTTCTTCGGCGCCAGCGCCTCGTGATCTACCAAGGACGGATCAAGGTAAGACTTAAGAAAGCCAGCGTAAAACACGGGGTGTATTCGCATCTTGCGCGGGAGATTGATAGTGTACGCTAGCCCTTCTTGGCCACGACCGTAAACGGACCAATGTAGCGAGGACGCAATTTGGTCCTACAGACCGCTGACACCACCTCGGAAGGTAGATTCTTAGCGTTCAGTAATCCTAGGTCTCCAACTTTGTAACTCTCATTATACTTTCTGTCTTTGGCTTCAGCTTGTTCATTTTGTTTTTCCTAGAAATAAGCCATTGCGTCACGTACATGTCCTAAGACATTCAATCGCGTAGCGAGAAACTCGCTCACCTGTTTCTGAACAGTGATTGGGCTGACATAAGCAAGCCGTTTGGCCGTTCCTCCCCCCACCAGGCCCAGAACCAAGTAGTGGTAGCGTTAAAGGAAAGCGTGGGTGAGTGAGATCATTCGCGTAGAATGGAGTAAAGCCAGTAGAAGAATGAACAGCGTTGTTTAACGCAAACAGAACCACAAAGAGCATATAGCTCCAACGCCGAGGCGTATCGGCGCAAACGATGCGCAAAATGTCATCAATGACACGGTTTACACGCTCTGTTTGACCATAAATCTGCAGATGATCCGCTGTGAACATGTCCAATCTGGTGCCCAGGAACTTGAAGATGGAAGTTTAAAACTTGCCAGTAAAACGTGGATCACTTTCAGAGACAAATTGCCACAGGCAAACCGTGTTGACGAAACACACGGGCGCAAAAAAACCTTGGCTGTACCTTCGCCGTCGATGAAATAAGGCACAGCCGCTGAATGAGCCATCTTACTCAAACGGTCAATAAAGACCACAACACCAGTGTTGCCTTCCGAATCCTTCGGTAGGCCGAACACAAAGTCCATACTGATGGACCCTCGACACTCAATGAGTACAGGCACAATAGAAAGCGGTGTAACCGCATGTGCTGAAGGTCTGAACCGTTGACACGTTTCACATGTACGCACAAATGTGCCCACCCATTTGTACATCTTGGGCCACCAGTACGTCTGGATAACTGAGCTATAGGTCTTCTCACGACCGAATGACCGCTCAAAGCAGTGTCATGTGCCTCAAATAGGATATGATACTTCAAGTCCTCATCATGAGGATTAACGATGCGAGGCACACCCTAACTACCAATGCAATAGCACAACAACCCACGATCGATGGCACATCGATGTAGGCTCGCACGTAAACGTGCCGACTTTTTAACGTACGAGTTCTTAAACTCCGCACTCCCGAGAGCATGTAGCAATGCTACATATTGCTCATCGCGTGCGTATGTCGCACAAATTGAAGTCACAATGGGTGAAGATAGAGTCGTAACATAAGCAAGCTCATAATCAGGTCTGCGTGACAACGCATCAGCCAAAGCATTTTGCTTGCCCGGATTATACTTCACCCGAAGTTGTATTCAGCAAAGAATGAAATTCGACGAGCCATGCGCTGTGAGAGGTGAGACGATTTGGTCGCAGTGCGTAATGACGCAAGATCTGTAAAGATCGCAAAAGGCTTTGAGCCAAGTAGATGGACTCTGAACTTGACAATAGCATACTTCATTGCAAGTAACTCTTTGTCGGGAACTGGATAGTTCTTCTCTGCAGCTTTGAGCTGACGAGACTCATTCGCAATGACGCTTTCATGTCCATCGACATCTGTATGCAATAATGCACAGCCAATCGCAAAATTAGACACGTCACAGACGACATTGAAAGGCCGCTCATGGTCAGGTGAAGCCAAAATTGGAGCGTTAAGGATACCGTCCTTTATAGTGTGAAAATCTTGAGCATATACTGCGTTCCAACTTCAAATTGCATCCTTCTTGAAAAGGTTGGTTCATGGCCTTGTCATGTCAGCGTAGTTTGCACTGTACTTGTGCAAGTAATTTGCAAGACCATGCCATTTGCGCAAGTCCTTTTTGCTCGACGGAACCGGCCAGTTAACAATTGACTTTACATTGGCGGGATAATCTTGAAGGCCACAATTTCTAACAAAGTACCGGATAAAGAGAATCTTTTTATAACCAAAAATGCATTTCGATGCATTTACGTGCAACTTGTTCGTGCTCATGCACTCGAGAACTGCTCGTAAATCGTTAATGTGATTGTCCACATCTGACCTACCATGGTATGCACGACTATGGAAAAATGATCATCGAAATAGCTATTTGCATATGCTTGGTGAGTTTGGAACAATTGCGTCACAAGACGATTAAAAGTAGCCGGGGTATTAGACAGTCTGTGAGGTATGACAAGGCACTCCCAAAGCATAACGCTGGGAGTAATGACCGCTGTGAGCAAACTATCACTCGCTCGCATGAACAATTGATAATGCACATCGACCAAACCGAGTGCACTGGGCATGATTTAACCTATTAAAGCGTTCTGGAGAACATCCTTTCAAGGGAATAGGTGTCCGTACCGGTATAGTGGCTTCATTAAGCTTATTGTAAGCATCCATAATACACCACTTTCCTTTTGGCTTTCTGACGGCGTCAAGTGCGAAAAACTGCTCTCATGCACTATGCTAGCCGCGTACTTTGCACGAAAGGAATCGTCAATAATGACACAATGCTTCTTCGGTAGGGTCTTTTGCCGTGTCACACAGTATTTGGTTCCAGGAACCAGGTCAGTTTCATGACACACGCCTCGATAAGGAGGCAGAGTGGAAGGTGGATCGTGACACACCACATCCTGAAACTCCTTAATCAAAGGGTAAAATGGGTTTAAAGAATCGTTCAAGATCGATGACCCACTTCGAGCACTCAGTGCCGCTTTTGTGTCTTTTAAGAAAGCTTTATCAAAAAGTGAAGAAGAGTTCAGCTCACTATCGGGTCTAATGACCACCACTTCAGATAAGTCACCTGACTTAAAAGCCAAGCCAAACTCATCAGCATACATTTCGTCTAGCTATACAGATTATTCAGTGAGGGTAGAGTCTCAAGACCCACTGACCCATCTATGCCACCTGTTACTCCATTAACGAGTGCATATATCTTCTCACTAGTATCACTCGTATACTTAACAGACGCCTTGCGCTGCATAATAGCAATATGGAGTCGCTGTCGTCTGTGTGATGAGACTGAACATCTCAAAGAGACTGGAACTGTTCTTTCAAAGATTGATGTCATCATCCTCTTTCATATGCTCTGTACAAGAGCCGGTGTCATTACCGACACTCAGGACATCAATGTCCCCAAAGTTAACATGACTATCAATCTTAAGGTGCTCATTAACAGAGCCGATGACACTACCGACATCCGGGACTATACCGCCTATAAGGTGACGAACATCGTCAACCTTACTTAACCCAATATCAGGGCCGATGTTATTACCGACATCTGGGACTACACTGTCCCCAGGTGACGAACTGCGTCAACTTTACTTTGATCTATACCGGATCCGATGTCATTACCGGCATCTAGTGATGAGTCACTTCTAGTGACATCATCACCCAGTGCGTACTCACGTGCCACTCCACGCTCATCACATAGGCGTCGCTCTTGATGACTTGATTTTACCAGCAATTTCTTGATTGACATTCAGTGTGTCGCAATCGCGTCCAACATCACTCAATGGGTAATTTACACGTCACTCCACGCTCACCAGATGGGTACAACCCATGATGACTTGGCTCTAGGTTATCAATGAGTTCAGCACTCAGTGATTCGTTAGCAAAACGATCATCGCTTGACGGAGTACGTCCCATTTCAATAACAGTCAATGAGCTTGGCTTGTAACTAACATTCTTATTGTATGTCGTTCGAACTCAATGTGTTCAGCCGAAGCGATGTCCAGCACACTGACTTTCGTAGTCCGTGTATCGCGCCAATAGAGATTTCGCTTCTAGCAGAGGTGGGCTCAGGACTCTTCAAACCTCCGCTAGGAACAGTGCGCGTTGCGCCTAAGGTCTTTGACCTCCAATCAATTCATGGCTCATGGCGTTCTGTACAAGCCACACCAAGGATGGTGTCATACCTCTCATCCAAGTCAAGGACTAAACAGCGTTTGATACTGTCAAAGTCCAAAAACTTGACGCTTTAGTTCACGGGAACTTTGGTCACAGTGAATAATGCATCTGTCGTCAAGCGAACTGTGATAGTCTCATTCTTTAGCACTTTCAGCGCCTCAGCATAATGCTGACTCCCTTCCAGGGACATCTTCGAACGTAATTTCCCGACGCCCCGGAGTCGATCAGTATCCACCATGGCTTATCGAAGCACTTCACCGTTGCTTTCGCTACTAACAAGCATGGCATGCATTCATGCTTCGTAACATTGTTCACGAAGTCACTTTGGGCTAGGCTCTGTTCTCTGTCACCTCCCACCGGTACAACAGTGCCTAAATTGTCCTCAGCAGGGCGCCCCTCGCCTACTGGGACTCGACAGTTTCCTGCGCATTACTAACTCGTTATTTGGCGACGGGAGGTCGGCTCAAATGGGCCTGTCTGATCCTTTTCAAAGTGCAATTGGAGCGCAATTGTTTATACTTCCGCGCGCAAAACATCTATGGATGTTCGAACGCTGTTCGAAAGCATATAGCTTAGCTTCTTCGTCTTTTCAATCGACACCAAGATCCATGGGTTCAGCCTAAAAAGAATTAGCATTGCTCGACGAGTTTTATTGGAACCCATGATTCCTGCAACGAGCAGCTTTAAAGCTGAACTCTGCGTCCAACGCTATGTCCACAACACCCTCAAATGCCAAGGGCTGTGCACAAACACTTCTGTTTTGGCTACGCCATTGCCAATACCCTCCATAAAAGCGTTACCAAAATCGTCTCGCGTAGAGGGTCAAGCTGCATAGCAGTAATGAGAGTTTACAA